GAACCCAGCAGAACCCAGCAGAACCAGCAGAACCAGCAGAACCCAGCAGAACCCAGCAGAACCAGCAGAACCAGCAGAACCCAGCAGAACCAACAGAACCAGCAGAACCAGCAGAACCCAGCAGCGGTCACCTTTCCTCCCGGCGCTGCTCCCTGGCAGCATCTGCAGCAGATCTGCTCTGTTCATGACCCTGAAGATGCTCCTGGTTCTCTCCACCGACCCGACTCCCTCCTCCTCCACCATGACCGTCACCAGGTCGGTTCTGTTCTGGATCTCTGCCGGACTCCAGGTTCTGGTGTGAGGGAACTCCTCCAGGCTGACCGTCAGCTGCAGGAACCGTCTGAACTGCTGGAACTCGTTCAGGTTCAGCCGGTTGAAGGTTTCCAGGAGAAGAGTCTTAACAGCAGCCATTGTAGCCACCTGGAACATTCAGGATGATTATGAGCAGCAGCTGAATCCACCTTTGGAACAACCAAGAGGTTATTCTTCACAGAAAATTACATTGTTTTTAAAAGAGGAATGACTGAATGTTAACTTCTGAACCAGCTGAGATCTTTTAAGTCCATTTATTTGAGAATCCGTATCATAGATTTGATCAAATTGTTGATTTTAATGTGAATTTTTAATAACCATCCAGATACGTTTAGAATCAACAATATTTCTCTTCTTCGTCCTTTAAGGCCAGCAGCTGAACCAGCTTTACTGAATTTTTGCTACTTTTATTTTTATCTAACCTCTGACTAACTTGGTCTTAATTTGAAGAGTCTTGAGCTTTATTTTGAAAGTCCAGACAGTTCTTTCTCTCCACATGCTTCTTATAACTAATATCTCCCTGGAAGAGCTGAGCCCAGACATGATCCGTTCATAATAAGTTTAGTTTATGACGTTACGACATGCACAGTTGTAGTCAATGTAATAATCATAAATGTGTTGCTATCTGAGACCAGTTGACTGCCTCCAGGTTTCCACTGACCTGGAAACGTGAAGCCCTGCTGCCCCAAAACACACTTTAAATTTCACATTTACATCTCTGGCTTTCCTGTGGCTCAGGTTTCACAGATATTTTCTTAACTATCAAAAGAAATTTAGCCTGGGAAGCTGAAATTGCTACGTAACACGCTGATGTTTGCAAAGCGACCAATAGGAGCGCCGTTCATGTTCCTTGGCTCTGATTGGCTGAAGCCCCCACAGAAAACAGTTAAACCATTAACACCATTAACACCGGAGCGTCTCTGTTTTCCTCCCAGGTCTCGTTTGACAAACTGGGTCAGAACCAGTCAAGACTTTAGCAAACTTAACTTTCACCCGCAGACGAACATTATGAAATAAAAACAATATAAGTGCTGATCCCACATCTCAGAAAAAACAGTTATTTTTGATAATGACCGCAAAAATCTTAATGTTTACAGCACAGCATTTGTTTTATTATTATTAAAATCTGGTGCTGACATGCAGAGCGGTCGCTGTAGCTGAGCAAACACCTGCAATCTGACTGCTTTTAAAATACATGAAGAATTTCCATTAATTAATCTTACACTGATTAATTGAAATGATTTCTTTGCAAAGTGCGTTAAGACACCATTGTGAATTGGCTCTAATAAAACTAAAGTAAGGAAAAACAACCTGTCTGTCCAAATGCCAACACCAGTTCAGTTTCCAGGTTACGCTGTGAAAAACAACCGGAGTGATTTCAGGTTCAGCTTCTCTATCCGCGGTTTAGAATGAGAAATCTAAACATGTCCAAGATGCAGTAGAAAAAACAATAAATTAAAAATCATAATCAACTGTCAAATATCAGTGTTGTAATATATCTTATGAACAGTAAAATAGCAGTTAGTCCAACGGCCATTAATACACAACCGACGAACCAAAAGGTTTAAACACGTGTTTAGTTTGTGAATTAAATACTTAGATAGGAAGCTAAATAATTAGTTTAAAAATAAATACTTTGTTCCCAAATAAATATTTAATATGAAGCTAATTATTAGCCAAATAAATATTTAGCTCGCCTGCTAAATATTGACCTCAAAATTAAATATTTACTTTGCTAAATAAGTTAAGTAAATGATTATATTCCAAACTAAGCATTTAATTTCCAAATGTTTATTTTACAAACTAAATATTTAGTTCATACTTAAATAAGTAGCTAACTAATATATTTAGCAAGACAGCTAAATATTTAGTTGCATAAATAAATATTTATTTTGGAGTTAACCATTTATTTAGTTTGTAAACTATTTACTTTTAAAGCTAAATGTTTCGCTTTCAAATTGAATTATTGAAAATGAACTTTTATCGTGTGAATTAAATGATAAATGTGGATCTCTGACCTCTGATCCGGATTATTTCTCACCTTCTGCATCAGAGCAGATTTCCGTTTTCCCACAACATGTTTCTCTAATGGATGAAGCAGAAAAACACTAAAGTCATGAAATATTGACTGTAACATGATCAAATATTATTATTGTACTTTATTGTCTCACTTCCTGTGGATGTGATCAGAGCGAACTCCAGATCGGGCCTCTGCATTCTGGACAGCAGCTCCTCCATCTTGTCCACAGGACGCTGGCTGAACGTCTGCACCAGCAGCAACACGGTTTCCTGCAGGTCTGCATTCATGCCCTGCAGCCTCCAATAGAGGCTTAAATAAGGACAGACAGACGAATCCCAGCTGAGGGCGTTCCTGATATCTGTCACATCCTGGATGGTCAGATCCTCCAACACCTCCAGCAGCTTCTTTATGACAGACTCCATGTCTTTAACCTGATTAAACAATTCAAGCAGCAGACAGAATAATGGAAACCACAACAGGCTGACAGGCTTCAGTCAGCTGGAGTCGGACCAGTTACTCACTTTCTGCTTCAGTTCAGGCCAGAAATCCATCAGAGAAAGTTTCCCTGTAAGTCAGATCCAGTCATTTAGGCCTCAGATTTAAACATTTTAGATTGTAAAGGAAAGAAACATACAACATCTGCCTTTTAAATTCAATATGCTGAAGTGAAAGTTCAGCTTTTGAAACTAAAAACGTTGCAAAAATAAAGACTTCTGTAGAAAGTTCTGATTTAGTATTATTAAACTAACATTTATTTACTTTACTAAATACACATTTTGTTCCAAAATAAATTATTTAGGCAACTAAATATTTAGCTGTCTTGCTAAATATATTAGTTAGCTACTTATTTAAGTATGAACTAAATATTTAGTTTATAAAATAAACATTTGAAAATTAAATGCTTAGTTCTGAATATAAATATTTATTTAACTTAATTAGCAAAATAAATATTTAATTTGGAGGTAAATATTTAGCAAAGAAGCTAAATATTTATTTGGCTAATAGTTAGTTAAAAAATAAAAACATCCAACTGTACATTTGAATATTGGAGCAAAATTACAGAAAATATTTAAATATAACATCCGAGCAGATCTGGAGTCCAGAATCAAGAGTTCAAATAAAACTGCTCAATTTCTCTTATTTTGTTTTATTTGGTTAAAAAAAATTTAAATAAAAAAAACAAAACAAAACAAAACAAAACAAAACAAATAGTCCATTTTCAAAATATATTGTTATAAAAACCAGTGCTGTTCTGCAAATGACTTATAAATATTTTTGGTTACCTTTAGCGCTGGAAGTGACCAGAGGAAGCTTCTCTACCAGGTCCGACTTGTCCAGGTCCATCAGAACCTCCTGAGCCAGCGCCAGGCACCGATCACCGCAGGTGGTCCACATCATGCTGACCAACTGCGTGCGGTTTGAAAACTGCAGGGCGCTCCATGGGACCTGAGGCAGAGCCTGCTGGAGCTGCGTCAGCTGCAGGAACCATTTGAACTTCCAGAACTCGGCTTCTTTCAGGTCCGTCAGGATTTCCAACAGCAGGTCCACAGCTGACACCTGAAACGTCACATCAGCTCCAACTAGTCAAGGTCGTGACCTCTGGGTCTTTGTTTATTGGTCAGTTCTTTTGGACTTAGAAGGAAGATACTCTTATGTAATTTATAAAACTCACTCTTTGTCCTGAGCAATTTTGTGTGTGAACATCGACTGGAACCAAACTGTGATAAAAACTTATAACTAGAGAAATCAAATATTTAAGTTTACAAACAAATCACACCATTTCTAACGTTACTTAACCTCAAATTTAATCAAAGCTTCAAACCTCAAAACACGAATGATTAAAAACAAAAATCATTCCCCTTTTAGTTATAAATTTGACGTATCAAAAACATATTTATATATTTTAAAATGATAGAATATCATTTATATAGATACATATCTCCAAAGCAGTCAGCCTGGATGGAGTAAAGCGGCTTTTAGCCTCTTTGATCACATGACTCCAGAAGGTCAACACGTTTGCAGGTGAAATTTAGCAGTTAATACAAAATGTATGTAAATATTTTCACAGGATAAACATTCAGTTTTAAATTCAATGTATATGAAAAAGTCATATTCTAAGGAGACAGTATATCTTTAATATTCAGTCACTTTGTAAATCCCCTGAGGTGAAGACCCTCTGCACTCGGTTTGGTTTGTTCCTCTCATGTCACTGATCGCCTCCCAGCAGTTATAAGCCTGTCAGGTTATTTACCGACTTGTCGGTTCACAGCCACAGATGTTCCAGTGTCGTCCTGTTTGCTGCTGGTTTCCAGTTTTAGCAAATGGTCAGCATGTGACCCAAACTAACAACTAAACCTTTAATGACCAATCATCAAACCAAAGTAGTAATATTAATAAGTCCCACATGTGATTTTAAAACAGCAAACTACAAGTTAGTTGGAAAAGCATTTCTCTAGATTATTATGAATCTACAAAACTACAGATAAGATTGAACTAACTTTATACGTCCAGTTTTCTGGAAAAATGTCAAACAAACCTTCAGATCAGATAAATGATCATTTTATTAGTTTCTGATCAGATAAATGATCATTTTATCAGTTTCTGATCAACCTGACTTCCTGTGGACTTCCAGTCTAAAAAAGCATTGTGATGTAGGGAAGAGCATTTATTTACATTTGTCAATGTAAAAAAATGACTGAAATGTGAATTTTACTATTTTACCAGTTCTTTTCCATGAGAGGATCAATAAATCTCAATACATGTGAAAAATAATTAAATGAATTCTCTTCGTGCAGTTAGTGATATAAATCATTTTCTTTCAGTGAGAGGCGTTCTGAAAAAGCTAACAGGAAGGTTTTTCCATTTATGTGTGAGGCGCTTTACAGTTATCTAATAACTAAGAAATAGTTTATCATTTCTATTGTTATAACAACAGTGACGCAATATATCATGATAAAATTATTATATGGCCACCTGATGATTATGAGGGTTTTATCTGCAGCATCACAAAGATGCGACGTCACTCACCCTGTGGATTTCTGCAGGCAGAAGATCATCAAACCGCTTTTCTGGAGAGGAAAGAGAAAAGAAAAGATCTGAGGAAAAACAAAATATCTGACATGTTTAAAGTTGACATCTCTTGTTGTTTTGTCCTGAAAATGTTGAGTCGTCTTACTTTTGGCCGTGGAGCTGCCGACCTGCATGGCGTCGACCAGATCCGTCATGTTCATGAACCTGCTGGGTCAGTTCCAGCCTGCCGCCAATCAGAACCACACAACCGCCTGCAGCGCCTGCTGCCCCTCACCAACCCTCAGACAGCGCCGTCTCCGCAGGAGGTCACTGAAGGTCACTGGGACTCAGCTCACCCAGCAGCAGCTCCACCAGGGACTCCATCAACTCCACCTGCTCAGGTGAGAAAACCACCAAAAACCAGGAGAAAGATTTAAAACTGAGGGACGAAAACGTTCAAATAAACGTTCAAATATCAGTAAAGAGAGAATGTAAGGTTCTTTTAACAAAGGATGGATGGATGGATTTGAGTTTTAAGCCTCCATCTCTCCTTCCTGGTGTTGCATCATGGGAAATAAACAGAAAGAAAACTAATAAAAAGTAAAACAATAAAATAAAGCAAAACTTTATCAATAAATCCCAACATTAAGCTCAAATGTTGATTTATTTTCTCTTTCTGCTGTTCAGAGTTAAAATAAAAGCTAGAAAATGATGAACCCGGAAGAAATCAGAAAATGAAACTAAATAAATCATCGGCTCTGCAGTTCATCCTCCTCGTTTCATTCTAACGTCAATATGCAAATGAAGCTGAAGGTGAAGTGTTGTGAAAAACACGAGAACAAAATGTTTCCTCCAGGTGAAAAAGACGCAGGTGAAGCGGAAGTGAATGTCTGGAGGTGTGAACGCGTCAGGACGCGGTTATTAGACATGAAAGCATCCAGAAAGGAAACTTCTCCTACCTGCTGCTGGTGTTTCCCCTCTGAAATCCTGCAGCGGTCCCTCATTTTACTGCAGAATCATGTTTCAGAGGAGCTGCAGACTGCCGCCGTTCAGGCCTGGTGTTTAACACAAACTGGTGTTCAGATCAACTGCTGCCCTGAGCCTGAGGAGAGGAGGAGCTAATGATGATCTGCAGCTTAACATCCGGTCCAACAGCAAGCCTGTTCATCCGCAGTTCCTCCAGTTTTAACCAGTAAAGGAGGGGAAATATTTCATTTATTTTTACTTTATTCAACCAGGAAAGACCCGATGACATGTAAAATCCAGTTTCCATGGTGACCTGGATGAAAACAGAACTGAAAAACATGAAACACAACATTTTACAAAAAGTATAACATCAATAATCACCAAAATGTAAATAAAGAGAAATAAGACACATAAAACAGTCAAATAATTAATCAGTCAAAACATTTGCATTGATGTGGAGCAAAACAACCTTTAACAGGTCAAACTGGGTCATTACAAACATTCAGTTCATTAAATATCACCAAACAAGATGAGTCAGCAGGAACGTTTTTACTGTTGGTTCTGATTCACTGATCAGTTTTTAGTGGTGAATATTGACATCATATTGATTAATATTACAGAAAATGATAAAATTATATAAGTTCTTTTAATATGAAAGCAAATTATCAAAACCTGACAAAGGAAAATAAACATAACAACAATATTATTTTGCAGTTAATAGCTTTCAGGACTTGAAGCTTCCTGAAGAAAAATCCATGGATTTTTATTGATCAATAAGTATTCATACTTATTGATCAATAAAAATCTCCAGTAACCTGGTGTGTCTGTAGCAGAGTTCAGGTTGATTCTCAGTGTTGGGGTCGCCAGGAAGCTGATGGTTTTCTGGAGGTTTTTATATTATTATTATTTGTTTCGACCAGTTGCGCAAAAAGTGGGTGCAGCGTCAAAACCCCGTCTGTAGGGGGCGCCAGTTCATGTTTTCCCATCCACCTGAATAATATGGAGTTGCCACCCTGGTTTCGACCAACTGGAACTTATTGATGGTCCCTAACCGAACCGAACCGAACCGAGCGGCTCCAGAGCCTCTGGCCGCTGTCTCTGTAACAACACACGGCCTGCAGAGAATCTGACAATATTAACTTTACTGCGGGAGGAAACAGGAGGACGCTGCTGTCGGACCTGGCCTCCCTGTTCCGCCATCTGCAGCCGCGGGTTTTATCAGCTGTTTAAAGAGGAAAAGGACTTACTGTCACTTTAAATTTATGGATTAACTGGATTAATTTCAAACGAGAAATTTATTTTTAAAATTCATTTTGCGTCACGTTGATGTTCAGAAAGGAAACTACTGGTTGTATCTTCATCATAACTGAATTTATCTTTAATATTTCTGTGTTTTTGTCTCTGTCAGCTACAGGATGTTCAACAGAAACTGTCACTGTGAAGAAAGAAGGTATGAAATCACAGAAACCATCGTTCTGCATATTAGACATAACTGACAAATACAGTTTTCTATATTAATACATTAATAACATGCATTTACATACATGTTAAATCAGATGAAAAAAAAAATCAAATATTTTCTGAGGGTGCTATGACTTCTCCAGGAGGAGCTATAGCACCCCTTAGCGCCCCCCCTGGCGCCGCCACTGCTGACAACATTAATAAAAATGAAATCTTGCTATATCTGGATCCTCTGGAGGGCAGGTTGCTACAATGGGATAATGTAACATGACTTTATATTCCCTTTTCTTGTAATACCAATCCACACTCCCTACCAGCTGGCAGCAGTAATGCACAATTACGTTGTTTGTTGAACACCAATAAATACCAAAAGAAAAAGAAGAAGCTGATCAGTCCAGCAATCCAGAGATGCCAACTTCCTCCTGCCGTTGGAGCTTCACAGAGTTTCACTTTCTGCTTTAGTGGCTGCAAAAACAGAAACATGAAGGACTTACTGTAACTTATGGATTAACTGGATTCATTTCAAACCAGCAGCAGGTAAAAGATTTATTAAACAGGACTCTTGTCTTTTTTACTTTTAATCTGTCTTAATTAACATCCTATAACATTAAGAACATCAGCCATAGACGCTCTTTTCCAAAACATGCAAATTTGACAAAGTGTTAGTTTTGTTGTTACAAAAACCATTTTAATTTTAAAAGCACAGTATGAATATAAAATTTACAAGGCCTGTTCAAAGGATTTCCATTGTCAGTTTCTTAAAATGGAGCGGAAAGCTTTCTGAGAAAACATTTCTGACAGTTTCGGTTCAGAAAGACGTTGTTCCGAACAGCGGAGCCAGAGGAACTGAAGGCTTTATTACCTGTTTCTGTTCCAGCAGGGGGAACAAAGAATTACAAAGAGTCATTTGATGGTGAGCCATAACGGCTTTCAATTATGCAAAGAAAAAGTTCATAAATAAGAAGGAACCAGGCCAATAAGAACATTTAAACCAGAGTCAGCAGTGTGTGTGTTGAAAACATGCCGGCTCCAGCATGCAGCTCAGTGGTGGTGAGGCACCACAGACCAGAGCCTTGGAGCACAGCGGCACCTTTCAGGAATTAAAATAAGGGCCACCGACCAGCCCTGAGTCGTCCTGCTCTCATGGGGCGGGATGGCTGCTGCAGTGATGGACAATATTTTATGGCAGTGTTTGTTGTACAAAAAAAGAAAGATTCACACATAAAGGTTAGAGTACTCCAAAATTGTATTCCAATCAGAGTAGCATAACTTCAACAATTTTTACTTACGTAGATTTACTTAAGCTTTAATTAAGCCGGTGTAAAAAGTGCCTGTAAAAGTAACTGGTCATAACTCCTGATTTAATATTCAAAATATGTCATCAGACAGCCAAAAATATAAAAGTTATGTGAACATTCTGGTATTTTAAAGAATATTAACAAAATATTTATAGAAATAAGGAGTTAGGTTTGGAGTTTTCAGGACTAAATCTACCACGAGGGCCAGGGTAGTCAGTGTTTTTTCATGGGGACACTTAAAAACGAATGAAACAAAAACACAGAGCAATATTTTATTATTTGATATTGTGAGCCAAAGAGCCACTTGCATCTCCAGAGATCTAGACATCATCAAGAACTTCCCGTTCCAATTGGAGAACCAGCATCCTGCATCCTGGTGAACTCGGTAAGAACAGACTTGACTGTTCTTGCAGGTATGTACTTGCCAAGAACACAAGAACATACTTGCATACTGGAGTATTGAGAAATGGGTGGTATTCATGTCTGTGGGTGGGAGCTGCACAGGAGCCCCCCGAGCATGATGCTGCCACCACTATGTTTGACAGTGAGGATGGTGTGTTCAGAGTAATGTGAAGTGTTTTTACACATTGTGCATTTTATTTCAATTTTACATGTTCTGTAAAGTTAAACTTTGACATGAAACTAATGGTGTCACAGAAAGTGACTGATGTAAAACATCCAGAATGCAGCATTAATGCTGAAGTTTTTGTGTTTTATTGTCCAGGTTGGAACGATGGAGACGATCGAGCTTCTGGTTGAAACCCTGCAGCAGCTGAGCCTGGAAGACTTTGCAGAGTTCAGGACTTTGGCTGAAGCAGAGCCGAGCTTGGTGACCTCCAGCAGCCTGGAAGCAGCAAACGTTCGGGATGTTGTTGATCTGATGGTGAAGAGCAGCAGTGGAGAATGTGTGGAGGCCGTCAGAACCGTTCTGATGAAGATGGACCGCTTGGATCTGGTGCAGAGATTGTCAGCTACTGACTCAGGAGGAAAAGGTGAAGCAGAGCAGAGAGAAATGTTTCCTCCTGAATCTGTTTCAGGAAACCTTGTTAGGAAATGTAACTTATTCTGATCAGTGAAAGTTGCCTTGATAAATGAAAACATGTTGGAAAAGTTTTGCTGTTGTGAAACTTTGTGGTTAAAATTTTACAGTCCAGATGATGAAACTTCTGCTAATCAGAATGTTTCTATTTTTCTTGTCAGATGAACTTTCTGTTGATGAAGAACCATCTTTACTGGACCAGAGGGTAAGTAAGGCTGCAGGATGTG